CAACCTGCGTTTCTTTCAGACAGTGGTTTTCGGAACAACCGGATACACCGCTCAAATTTTCTACTGAGTTTAAATTTTCTACAAGTTTTTTTTTTTATTATTGTTAGATTAATAAAAGTATTTTTTAATACAAAAATAATTTTTGAAAACTTACTTTTTGAACTTTTAAAAAAATTCTCAAAATATCTCTAAATTTTTTTTTAAAAAAAATCTCAAAATGCTTTTTCTTAACATTTTTATTAATATTTTGTTTCAAAACACGGGATATTATACTAACAATAATAGAGATATCGGATATGAGGTATACAAAATTACTGATGTATATTTCATATTTGGGAAGATATTTATCTTTAGTCCTTATCCCCGTCCTCATATTCGACCTCACCCAAATTTCTGTCCATACTCATTATATATTTATTAAATGTAGAAACTATATTCTTATATTCAACGTTATATTATATTTTGCTGATAGTTTGTATTTTTTAATAAATATTATATTGAAAATTAAAATTATACATTAAAAAATTATTCGAAATGAATTCCTCCTAAAGTCTCCGTAGGAAATCCCTATCTCGTTCCCTAAAAAAATAAATGAAAATTTTCGCGAGAATGAAGGTTGATATATAAGGCACGGAAGGGGATGGAAATTTTTCCGTCTCATATAATGATATACTAGTGATACATTACTTTTATACTTAAAAATAATTTTGAGTGAGTATCAATAGTATTAATACATTTACCTTATGCTTCATTAATACACTATTAATACACTTCACAATTCATATATCATTGATATACTTATCTGTTCATCTATATATAAAATATATGCAAGTATTATTTATTTACTATTACGTAAATTTATGGGTAAACATGTTATTTTATTGATAAATCTATTATTGAAATACACGTAAAATTATTGTAAGATTTTTATTATCCAATAAATATCACGAATCGTCTAGCTGCGATATGATTTTATGGAGACACATTGATATATCGATTATTTGATATATGACTATTATTGTTTAACTTTATAACGAGTATATCAATGCTGCAAATACATCAATAAGATCATACCTTAGCAGATAAAATACAAATTATCGTTATCCTGTTAGGGTTGAAAATCATGATACACTTTATATTATTCCTCATCCGTACTTCATTTGTCTTGGTTTATTATCATGTAGTTTTCAACTAGATATATTTCTCCCTTTAGCAAAATTGACTTGATCAAAACTCACCAACACAATTCATGCATCTTAACATAATTTGAATGAGAGAAAACCAACTTAGATTGAAGAAACTAGATCGCACCCGATTGAACCAAACCAAACAAACCCAACCTAACCCAACCCAACCCAACCGCTAATCAAACTGGACCAAACAAACCTCAAACTGAACCTGGAAGCTTACGGAATAGTCGGATTTTTTTGAGTATTTGCCACACGTATGGATCACGACTGTTTATTTGTGTTCAGAAGGAAAAAAAAAAAACTTGTAGAAGTGGTAAAGGACTTCTAATAAGCAACAAAAACTAGCTATCCGATCTTGGTTGAACAAAGCAACTAAAATTACAAAACTATTGCTTCAATCAACCAAAGGAAAAGGAAATGATCTTATTTGTATCCCAAACATATTTACATAAAAGTAATGCTTCATTAGCTTTGGCTTCTCTTCAAGGGATATGTGACAAAGATCAGAAAAAACGAATGGAACAGAAAAGAGGCCCTTCCTCTGTTCATGAAAGCTATCTCATTTCTCTCACTACCAAAAGGGCAGAAGGCTGATCTTTCTATTCCACCAAAGGTTTGCTACTCATCCTTACCTGTATTTTTTATATGTTGCTAATCTAAATTAAGTAAACCCTTAAGTTTCTTGTGAACTTATGATCAAAGGTAAAGAGTCCTTGCAAAAATTCTGAAGTTTCTGACGAACATAGGGAAGCTATAAGAATGATTCTATCCCATAAATCTTCCAAACCACTTCTCTTTCATCATAGAAACCCATAACTTACTATATAATGATGTTTTTGTCATTGGTTGATAAAACAAGGTAATCGTTTCCTTTGTCTACTTCTTCTCTGCAAAGCTTTTTCAGAAGCAGGAATTTTTTAGCCCTATACATTCAGATTTCTGCCCAAATGGTCAGTTTATAGTCAATCAATATGCCATTCCAAGCATCACATCAGCGTTACAGAAGCACTTAGATTGTATAATCGTTCCTTTTACATTAGATCTGTATTGCACAGCCTGAAGTGTTTTTTCCCCCTTCATGGTAAACAGAGTGAATACATCAATTCACATAAACTTCGACATCTTCTCTTTTGCCACCTTCCGAAGGTATTTAGGATGTAGACAAATTGGTATGAATCGGGATTCAATCCATTCAAACCGATCATGACCAACAAAACTATTACTGTTATTTCCATTTTATATAAGAAAGTGGGATATTAAGACTTCATTCTTTAAAAGATAAAAGGTGCTTCATCCGTGCTAACTTAGGTAAAAAAATTAGTTAAAGCATATATCATTGATAAAAAAAAGGTTAGATTGGTTTTTATTATAGATAGGAAAAAAAATGATCGGGCTAGATACAACGTTGTTAGATGACAAAGCGTGTAAACAACAATGTGTATAAAATTTTATAAAAGATCAGTCAAACTTCTAAAGGATTTTTAAGCAGTAAAAGATTTAGACGAGGAAATCAGTTATCTTTCCAACTATCCTTGACATTGACAAAATTAGTGTTCACTCATCTCAAGTTTTTTGGCTGATAATAGTTTCGTTCAAATTCTGCATTAAGTTTTTTTCAGAGATTAAGACGGGAAAAAAGTGAGAACCTTAAATTGCTGAAGATCGCTGCTTAACCTTCTCTTTCAGGAACTGCAAAATATGTTCACGTTTCCAATTATCAATCCTGCAAAAAAAAAGGGGGAAAATGTTCAAATATTTTTTTTCACCTTATGTGCGATATCGAGATTATCAACGGTCATTACAAAATCTATATCGTTCTATACACTATATTAACCTCCTCAAACATTCTTCATTCACTTGATTTTGCTCTGATATATTATATGTGTGATGCAGACAGTATAAGATGGGAAAGTCTTGGCGCTTCAGAAGTTACCTAATGCTTTCTTTATGTTGGCCCTCATCATCCAGCAAAATCAGCTTCGGTGGAGAGTTGAAGGTATATTGAACATTAACTGAAGGGAATTGATACTTTTCTTCTTCAATGAAGCCAACAATTTCAGGATAGAAAACTAGCTTCCTCATGCAGACCTCCAGCATGGCACCAGAATAAGTTATCTGCAGTCAATGAACTTGGCTTTCATCCTTTGTCAAAATATATGAAAAGACACCCACATGCATATACTTATGAAATACAACCAACAGAGTACTGAACTGGGAGATTGAGAGGATCAAAATTCTGGATGTATACGAGGCATTTCTCCCTGGGACATCCTTTTCAAGGTGTTAACAAGACTTTAGGGCTAGCCATCAACCTAGTTTTACGTTTTTTCTTTTTTTTTTTTTTTTTTTTTTTTTTTTTTTTTTTTTTGGTATCTTTGGTGCGAGTGTAATAGCAGAATTTTCAAGGACGTTTCTTGCACTTTTAGTGTTTTTCTTTAAAAAAAAAAAGAAAAAGAAAAAGAACTTTCATCGAGAGAAATAAAATAACATATGGGGCATACAAAAAACAAGCTCCCAAAAGGAGTTTTCAACAACCTACAAGAATGGACACCAATCAAAAAGTATAAGACTAAACTCATAGTTACAAAAACTCCAAGTAATGGACCTGTCACCCCCTCTGAAGATGCTACTATTCCCCTCAAGTCACAAATCTCACAAGATATCAAAGGAGCAAGCCTACGACAACACTCTTCCTTTATCTCGAAAAGGAGAGTTATCAAGATATCCTTTATCATAGAGTAGTAGTCCCTGTAACACCATGGGAGGGTACAGGGCTAAGTGGAAAAGGGAAACAAACTGCTAGCCTCTTGGAATAAGTAATTGTCTCATAACGAGTGTGGAATATCTGTCCAGAAGTTTGAAACACTAATGTAAGAAAATTAAAATACTATGGATATGTACCTATGGTAATTTACAAAATAAGGGGAATTAAAAAGTTGCACTTGATCATAATCCCACACTTTTAACAGGGTTGTGATATGCATTGATAAATGCGTTGCACATCCTTTGAATCACTTTTTTCTTAAACTGATTTAGTTTCCCTTGTTTACTGAAACCATATTTTGGACCATAGTTGTGATAATTACGTAAAGGCACAAATTGTTAGTCCTATGTAATATGTTAAACTAATATTTTTCCGATTGACATCTCTACCACAGGGCCGTTCAAGCATTCAGTTTATAAGTGTGATATATTAATCACAAATGGAATGGTAAGTTAATGCAATTTTTGGAGGAGAAACAATATTTCATTCCTTCCAGAAATCAGCAAATTTATAACATTTTGCATACCTTACTTGTGGCATCATCGGAATCCTCCGTGCAACATTTCAAACAATCCGTCACTAATTCTGCAGTACAAATCTGGGAATGAGGATTGCATGTAATATTAAAAACAATAAATTTCAAAATTATTGCATAAGCTGACACAAAACGGTTGCAGATTTTGCATACTATCAGTTCTTTTTTCTTCTGGATTTTGGATAAAAACTATTTGAAGTCCTTAACAATCCGCAAATCCAGCGTTGCCAGAATTGCCAGTGCAAAAATCACTGAATTCATCATTAGAAATTACATCTTTTGACATGTTTACGTAAAACTCATTTGTAAACTTACAAATTCTTAAACTACAAAACTAAAAGGCAATATGTTATCTTAACTCCACATCTTGCAACCCATTTCTTGTTTCCACATGCAGGTGCATAAACGTTTGAAAATCCTGGAACTCAGAGAGGGGGGAAGAGGTAAAAGAATCTCCTCCAGCCAAGCCAACTACCATAGCATTTTCTTTTCTTTTTCCTTTTTTTTTTTCCGAAAAGTGATGTTCGGGTGCTATTTTGAAAAGACTGGCTACTGCTATTGTTTTTAAAACTATTTTCAATAACTATGATTGGGAGAAGAGACAGGGAGCATGTAGGATTTTATAAAGTGCCCTTACAGTCTAATGCGTGGAAAACAATTTCCCTGACCAACTTTATAAGCCTCTTCACATTTAGCAAATATGGCCACTTTGGAGACTGTTCAAACTCCTATTCTTTAAGAGTTGTGATCAGATGGCACATAATAAATGCACTTGAAATCAATATTCACAAGAAAGAATGTCTTTAGTTTAACTAAAACAAATAGATCTATGTGAAAACAAAGCTAAAAAAGGGTGTGGAAAAAGGTCCAAAACCCAGTTCGGCCTCTAAAATTATGCTGGGGCTTAGCAATCAAAAAGGGTGTGGAAAAAGGTCATTGCAAAAAATAAAAAGAAAGTAACAAAAAAGAATAACACTAACAATCACTAATTGCATTCAAAGCACGACTTATGAGAAAGACATGATACATAATTTCTGAAAAACATAATCAACAAATCACAGAAGGAACAAGATGATCTATCGCTTCAAAATGTTGAGGACTTCTTTCTTCCCACAACTCAATCTGTGGACGCAGTTTTGTAATCTCTTGAAAAAAATTGAAAAAAAAGATGAATTATTACATCAGAATTTCAGAAACCATCTTCTTCCCTAACAAATTCTCGGACAATCACAGAAGTAGGACCCTAAGTCTGTCTTGTTGGATGATGAAAGTCCCACATCCGCTAATTTAGGGAATGATCATGGGTTTATAAGTGAGGAATACTAACTCTATTGGTATGAGACCTTTTGGGGAAGCCCAAACCAAAGCCATGAGAGCTTATGCTCAAAGTGGACAATATCATACCATTGTGGAGAATAGTGTTCGTCTAACATGTCTCTCAACTCATCACCAATGTATCTTCGGATAAAATAAGAAATGACATTAGCAAACTCTATCCACAATACTAAGAAATTCAAATATCGAAACTAAAGCCAACGGTAATACATCCAGACTACAACAAAGTAATCCGGAAATCCCAAGTCTAAATCAAGCAAAAAAAGATCCGTAATCAAACACAACACTAGATGAGCAATCAGTCATTGAAAAGAACGCAGAAGATCAAGTAAATAAGCGAACAAAATCATTAAGCTGCTCCGAATTCACGAGAAATAGTCACGAAAATGGAAGAAATGCAATAACAAAGATATAAATTCGAAGCCGAATCAAGAATGCGTATAAAAAAAATTAAAAAAATTCAGTGAATAAA